ACTTGCATGCAATTAAGCAAGGAGTCATTCATTTTTGTCATTTTACCATTTTTGTCCCCCATTGCCCAGTCTGCTGCCTTTTAAATTACATTTGCATACTCCATCCCTTTCTGCCCCCTCAGCTTAAAGAGGGTGATCCTTGATTCTGAAACAGTGTCCCCATTTGTCAACTCACTCACATCCACCTTGTCGACATCTTTCAGAGTCTTGTAAACAGGAATCAAATCAAGCCTCAGTCTTCACAACTTGAGTGAAAACGAGCCCAGCCTGTCCAATCTTTCCTGGTGGGACAGCCCACTCATTCCAGGCATCGATCTAGTAAAGCTCATCTGAACTGCCCCAATGCATTTTCTTCCCTCCTTAAATTAGGAAACCAAAATTACACACGGGAAGCGAGAAATAGTCTCACCAAAGCCCTGCATAACTGAGGCATGACATCTTAATTTTTATGTTCAATTCCTCTTACCATAAAGGACAGCATTCCATTAGCTGCCTTAATCATTTGCTGTATCTGCATCCCAACTGTTCTTTGCTGGAACATCAAAATCCCTCTGCACCTCAGAATTATGTGAAGATAAAAGCAAAATATTTATTCATCACACCTGCCATTTCTTTAATATCCCTATTAACTGTCCATTCTCACCCTCTAGTTAGAGTCAGAGTCATAGAGCTGTACAGCATGGAAACAGACCCTTTGGTCCAACTTGCCATGCCGACCACATATCCTAAACTAATCTAGTCCTATTTCCCTCTAAACCTTCCTATTCAGATGCCTTTTAACTGTTGTAATTGTACCCACCCTCCACAACTTCCTCTGGCAGCTCATTCCATACACGCACCACCCTCTGCGTGAATATGTTGCCCCCTTAGACCCGTTTTAAATCTTTCCCCTCTCACGTTAAACCTATGCCCTCTGTTTTGGACTCCCCCCACCCCAGGGAAAAGACCTTGGCTATTCACCCTTTCCATGCATCTCATGATTTTATAAACCTCTATAAGGTCACTCCTCAGCCTCCAACATTCCAAGGAAAATAGCCCCAGCGTATGCAGCCTATCCCTATAATTCAAACAGTCCAACCCTGGCAGAGTCCTCGTAAATCCTTTCTGAACCCTTTCAAGTTTCACAATATCCTTCCTATAGCAGGGAGACCAGAATTGAACGCAGTATTATAAAAGTGGCCTAACCAATGTCCTGTACAGCTGCAACATGACCTTCCAACTCCTCTACTCAATGCACTGACCAATAAAGGCAAGCATAACGAATGCCTTCTTCACTACCCTGTGTACCTGCCACTCCACTTTCAAGGAACTATGTACCTGCACTCCAAAGTCTTTGTTCAGCAACACTCCCTGATTTGCCTATTCCAAAATGCAGCACCTCACATTTATCTAAATTAAGCTCCATCTGTCACTCTTCTGGGGATTCACTCGATCCCTGCTGTCTATACCTGACATATGCTTCCTTCTTTTTCTTGACCAAAACCTCAATTTCTCTAGTCATCCAGCATTCCCTACACCTACCAGCCTTGTGCTTCACCCTGATGGGAACATACTGTCTCTGGACTCTTTGATACTCACTTGACTTACTCTTTTCCTTTTTAGATACCGACTGAAATGTTTTTTGCGTGTATGGAATGGACTGAAACCTACTGAAACTGATACGTACTGACCATTTTAACATCTCCAGCTCATTCTAATGTATTCATCCCTATTAACCCTGCGGTTAATCTCTACCATTCTTTGTATTCTGACCAGTCATCGACCTTGACACACAGCTTTGCACTATTGTATGCTTTCTCCTTAAATTGTTCTTCTTTCATGAATCATGGCTTGACAGTTCTCTCGTTGGAAATTTTCCTTATAACCACATCGTAATTATTGTAAACTATCCCTTTAAAAGACAGCCCCTGCTTCCTTACCAATCTATCTCCCAGTCTAATAGCCCTGCTTACGTCCGCTTCTGTGTATTAACTTGTAGAGTTTTATAAAATAATGAGGGCTACAGATAAAGTGAACGTCAAATGTCTTTTTCCCTCGGGTAGGGGGATTTCAAGACTAGGGGACATATTTTTAAAGTGAGAGGAGAAAGAGTTAAAAAAGACGTGAGGGGCAAATTCTTTACACAGAGAGTTGTTCGTGTGTCAAATGAACTTCCAGAGGAAGTGATGGATACAGGTGCAGTTACAATGTTTAAAAGACATTTAGATATATACACAAATAAGAACTATTTGCAGGGATATGGGCCAGGCGCAGGCAGGTGAGACTAGTTTAGTTTGCGATTATGGTCGGTGTGGACTGGTTGGACCAAAGGGTCTGTTTCCGTGGTGTATGACAGTATAATTTTGTGCCAAGGAAGCTTCAAAAAGGGACACTTCAAAGGGCAGAGAGCAAGACAAACCAATTACCTCCTCGCAGCATGAAAACATTCCCTGTGGGTTGTATCCCAGACTGTGAACATGATCTGAAAGATGTGTTTGTGTCTTACTGCTCCAGGAACACACAAATAGTTTTTAAAGACAGAAACAACTGCAGCCCTTGGGCTGTGTGTGTTAGTAGATGATCTCCGAGTGTGCACTAGTGTCCAGAGGACATGACTTGAGGACAGCCATTACATACCCTTGTTCTGAAAGTATAAAGAAAAGATACCGTGACAATATAAACTTCACAATTCAGTAACTTCATGGACTGAAATGAGCAGCAATAACTATTTCTGGAATGAACCGTTTCTCGAGATGAATGGGACAAGAAGCTGTTTTAAAGCAATTAACAGTAACCATCCCTAGGAAGCAGCAACGTAAACAAGCTGTTTCCTGGCAGACAGGAGATAATTGCTTGATAACTGTTGCCTTGTGACAAATGGGCAAATGGGTTAATTGCAGGAAAAATTGTTTTAAATAGACAGCTAACTCCGAATGTAACAAGGAACATAGGTTCTACTTCTGATGTAAGAAGGCAAGACTTGAGGTCTCCAGAAGTGTAAACAGTGTTGGTGATGAAAGAATCTATTGAGTCATCAAACTTAAAAGAGAGAAAAATGTATAAGGATCCAACACCAAAACAATTCAGTTACAGAACTTCAAAGAACATAAGGATCGGACCCTGGACATATCCAGAGACATCATCGATTGGAATCCTGGTCATTAATCAGGTTGAGGCTTAGTTTGCTTACTTGAGGGGTTGTATTTTGGTTGCTACATGCAATGAAGTTTGTAAATCATTGCTTCAGTACTTGATTGTTTGTGAGATTTCTTAATAAGTAGCCGAAATAGTTTGTGGTGACTTACCCACAGCAAAGCTCTCTTGCTTCAGTGTTGAAATCCTGTTATCTAGTGTCTTGAAACGGACTGCTCAACTACTGATGTCAGTGCTAACACTATGACCCGAACAAAGTTCCACTACAAACCACTCAGAAACTGATCTGTATGCTCCTTAATTCCTACCTTTTTTAACTCATTTACAATCCTTATGTGTATTGTGTTCTTATTTCTCCCATTTAGTAGCCTGAACTCTACAATTCTTTAACACACAAAGAGGGTCATTACATTACCTTCTGTGATAACGTTTATTAGGAAGGGATTCTTTGTAATTAACCTTGTTCTGACCAACTGGGGTTGGCAGGAGTAAGGAAGCAGAGCCCGTTCGTCTGTTCTTACACTGGAACGTAACAATTTGGTATATCTGGCTGCAGCCATCAAGAAGTAGGGAGTGTCACCCAGGGACTGCTCAGAACACCAAGAACATTCTTACCACACCGTGCCACGCAATGACTAAGAGCAAATCTAACCATCACTGAATCCACAATATCAACATCCCAGGGTTACTAATGACCAGAAGTTGAACTGGACCAGCCACACTGACTGCAAGAGCAGATTACAGGCTAGGAATCCTGTGGTAAGTATCTCTCCTCCTGTCTTCCTAAATCCTGCCTACAATATACTAGACAAAAGTCAGGAATGTGACAGAATACACTCCACTTGTCTGGATGGGTGCAACCCCAACATCACTCAAGATGCTCAACACCATACAGAATAAGTAGGCTGCTTGATCAACATACCATCCACCACCTTCAACATTCATTCCCTCCACCAGTGGTAGGCTTGTGTACCATCTGCAAGATACACCACAATAACTCTTTAACAGCACCTTCCAAATCCGTGACTTCCAGCTCCTAGAAGAAAAAGGACAGGAGGTACTTGGGAATGCCACCACCTACAAGTTTCCCCTACCTGATAGACAACATCCTGACTTGATATACCGCTGTTCCTTCAGTGTCCCTGGGTCAAAACGCTAGAACTCCCGCCTGGACAGCATCGTGGGAGTACTCACACCCTAAACGGTGTTGCAATTCAAGAAAGCAGCTCACCACCACCTTCTTCAGGGCAATTAGGGATGGGATAGGCATTACATGCTGGTCTTGCCAGTCACACCAGCACATGTTTGGAAAAAAAACAGGAATTTCCCTTCCTGCCAGTCCACATCTCTCCTGTTTTCTAATCCTCCTAGAAGTCTATATTTTTCACCAGGCTATAGTCAATCCTCCCAAGATCCCCTTTAACTCAGCATGAAATTTTGTTTGATTTGTAAGTTTCTGTTTCTGAAATGTATCTTGGGACACTTTCCTAAACGAAGTAAATGAAAGGTCTCTTTAAATCAGATTGTAACAGAATAGGAAAGCCAATATTAAAATAAATATCTGGGTAGATGGAGTTGGGTCACAAATCAGATATGATCCTCAATGAATGACAGAACAGATCTGAGTGAGTCAATGGCCTCTTCCTGTGCCTGTATTCAAAATAAACTTAGATCCAAACATAGCTGATGAATGAAAAGTCACAGAGGAGCTGGGGGAATCAGACGCAGCAACAAGAAACAAGTTCTTGAGCAAAGTTTGAGAGTGAAAGAAGACTGGAGAGAAAGCAGATAGCAACTAGTTATTCCATTCAGTCCTTTTGAATCTGATCAGCATTTCATTGAGGGTCAAACTAAAAGTCAAATAGTTTCTCCCTTTAAGATTTATTTGATCTCTATCCAAGCTATTAAGTAATAACATGGTTATAAGGAATAGTACCATTAGTCAAGAACTTTTACTATCAGAATGATCATGATTCAGACCAGGATGTAATTAACAGCAACAGAAATAGCAGAATCTGATTCCTGACATCACTTGTGAACTCTCTGGTGTCTCAGCAAGTTGGATGATCGAGCGAACCTCTTCCCACATCGAGAGCAAGTGAACGGCATCTCCCCAGTGTGAAGCTGTTGGTGTGTCAGTAGATGGGATGACTGAGTGAATCTCTTCCCACACACGAGGCAGGTGAATGGCCTTTCCCCAGTGTGAACCCGCTGGTGCGTCATCAGATACTTTTTGCTTTTAAAGCTCTTTCCACAGTCAGAACATTTGAAAGGTCTCTGATCAGTGTGAACATGTTGATGCTCAGTGAGCTGGGATGGCTGAGTGAAACCCTTCCCGCATGTGGAGCAAGTGAACGGTTTCTCCCCAGTGTGAATTCGTTGGTGTAATAGAAGCTGTGGTGAATCAGTGAATCCCTTCCCACACACATAGCAGGTGAATGGCCTCTCCCCAGTGTGAGCCCGCTGATGTCTCAGACGGTGGGATGAACGGGTGAATCTCTTTCCGCACACAGAACAGGTAAACGGCCTCTCCCCCGTGTGAACTCGCTGGTGTGTCAACAGATCCTGTTTGCTTTTAAAGCTCTTCTCACAGACAGAACATTTAAAAGGTCTCTTATCAGTGTGAACTCTCTGGTGTGTCTGCAGTTGGGCTAAACGTCTGAATCTCCTCTCACACAGGGTGCAGGTGAACGGCTTCTCCCCGGTGTGAATGCGTTGATGGACTTGTAAATCATTTTTACTTTTAAAACACTTTCCACAGTCGGAACACGGGAAAGGTCTCTGATCAGTGTGAACAAGTTGATGTGTCAGAAGGTAGGATGACTGAGTGAATCCCTTTCCACAAACGGAGCAGATATAAGGTCTCACCCCTGTGTGAGTACGTTTGTGTCTAAGCAGTTCCCATTTGCTTTTAAAGCTCTTGTCACAGTCAGGACATTTAAAAGGTCTCTGGTCAGAATGAACCTGGTCAATGGAGAGGTTTGGTGAAGCATCAAATCGTTCCTGACATTCAAGGTTGGTGAATGGCCTCTTGCGAGTGTGTACTCTCTGGTGTAAATAGAGGCTGGATGAGTAAGCAAATCTTTTCCCACACTGAGTGCAGGTGAATGGCCTCTCTCCAGTGTGGCTGCGTCGATGAATATCCAGTTGAGATGGGTACTTGAATCCCTTCCCACAGTCCCCACATTTACATGGTTTCTCCATCATACAGTTGTCCTGACACCTCTCCAGGTTGGATGATCAAAGTTTTGTTCACACACACACACAATATGCATACAGTCTCTCCCGCACTAAATGTGGCAGTTATTTTCAAGCTGTAAAACTTGGTTAAAGCACTTCCCACGTCAATTCACTGGAATGCTCTCACTCCAGTGTTTGTGTCTCGGTGTTTTTCCAGACAGGATGATGTTTGAAATCTTTCACCAGAAACAGAACATTTTTTTTTCCTTCCACATTCAGAAGCCATCAGATCCTGATGAATCAAGTGACTCAGGCAGATCTTGATGTGATATCGGTTTGGAGTCTCACGTCTGTAACTACTCCCTATTGAAAAAGTGTTTAAAAACACAGACGTTTACACAGATCATCACTGTCAGTCCAGCACAGAAATTCAGATCAGACAATTGCAATTTCCATGGAACATCTTTCCAGTCATATTCCCTCAGACTTGCACATCCAAATCCCACATACTCCCTGGACTCAAATCTAAACCCATCTCCACCATATCTCACTCTCCCTGGCTTCAATTCTCTTGTCTGCAGCTGGGAGCAACTTCCTGTTCAGAGCGCACACTGATGACGCAACATAAACGGCCCGTCTTCGGAATGGCGGTGACGCCCGGGCGATTGACGGCAGCTGTGGACCAATAGAACGAGGGGACGGGGCTGAAGGCAGCTGACCCTCCAATCTGAGTGAATGAAGGGGCGGGGCTGGAGAACGGAGCGACGGTGGCTGGCCCTCCAACCAATCTGGGTGAACGAGGGGACGGGGCTGGAGGACCCAGCGGACGCGTCTCGTCCTCCAACCAATCGGAGAGAATAGAGAGCAGAGCTGGAGGACTCGGCGGGTGCGTCAGGTCCTCCAACCAATCGGAGTCAATGAGGGGGCGGGGTTGGAGTACTTAGCCGGGGGGTCATGGTGAAAGTCTTGTGCATTCTGGGCAATAGGACAAAGCAGAATTAATTGATCGTTTTGCTGTTAAAACAACACATTGACACTAATTGAAAACCAAAAGAACTGCGGATGCGGTAAATCAGAAATAAAAAACAGAAGGAGCTGGAAAAGCTCAGCAGTTCTGGCAGCATCTGTGAGGAGAAATCAGAGTTAATGTTCACTCTTGCTTCCTCACCACAGATGCTGCCAGACCTGCTGAGCTTTTCCAGCAATTTCTGTTTTTGACATTGATACTAATAAGAACATGAGAATTAGGAGCAGGAGTAGGCCATCCGGCCCCTCGAGCCTGCCCCGCCATTCAATAAGATCATGGATCATCTTTTTGAGACTCGGCTCCACTTACCCACCCGCACACCAGAACTCTTAATTCCTTTACTGTTCAAAAATTTATCTAGCCTTGCCTTTAACACATTCAGCAAGGTAGCTTCAACAGCTTCACCGGACAGGGAATTCCACAGATTCGCAACCCTTTGGGTGAAGAAGTTCCTCCTGACCTCAGTCCTACATCTGCTTCCCTTTATTTTGAGGCAATGCCCCCTAGTCCTAGTTTCATCTGCTAGTGGAAACAACCTCTCTGCCTCCACCTTATCTATTCCCTTCATAATCTTATATGTTTCTATTAGATCTCCCCTCATTCTTCTGAATTCCAATGAGTATAGTCCCAGCCTACTCAGTCTCTCCTAATAATCCAACGCCCTCAACTCTGGAATCAACCGAGTGAATCTCCTCTGCACCCCCTCCAGTGCTAGTATATCCCTTCTCAAGTAAGGAGACCAAAACTGCACACAGTACTCCAGGTGTGGCCTCACCAGGATGCTATACAGCTGCAGCATAGCCTCCCTGTTTTTAAACTCCATCCATCTAGCAATGCCAGACAAAATTCCATTTGCCTTTTTAATTACCTGCTGCACCTGCAATCCTACTTTTGGCGATTCACACACAAGAACACCCAAGTCCCTCTGCACAGCAGCATGCTGCAATTTTTTACCATTTAAAACATCGTCCGTTTTGCTGTTATTCCTAATGGTGTGGCAAAGGTTCTCGATGCCTTTAGGGAAGAAGTGGGCACCCTGGGAGACAGAATGCTTTGTTTCCCCCTCCAACTCTATTTTGATTTAGTCCACGCCCCCTCTTCATTAACTCCCCCTCATTTTATATTTTGACGTCAGCATTGCCCTGAACAGGCTTTGCCTGTCAGTAGATAATTGCCCATATGGGTGATTTCCTGCTAGTGCAGAAAAAAATATAATAAAGTCTGTTCATGATGGTGTCTTTTTTCTCATTATACATAAAAATAATAAAATACATATTTTATATAACCGTGCCCGATTTAGGGGGAGAAAAGAAAAATAAAGGGTACTATTTGGCTGTATAAAAAAGGAAAAAATAACTCATGGTGTGGACAGTGGAGTGAGGTTTGATCACTGGCACCTTCCTCCTGTCACAGTTAGAACAACTGTTCTCACCTGTTAAAGGTGTTAAAGGCTTTCCGATGTCTCAAATCAAACCTGACACTTTTCAATAAAATACTTCACAATTACCTGTGACTTGAATGCACCTTTTGGGGAAATCTGAGACTCCTGGGCTAAAATCTCAGTCGTCCGTAAAAGTGACCGAAGATCTGAGAAATGCTTGCTTTCAGTTTGGAGCTTTGCCTGTTTTTCACATGTTTATGTGGATTTCCGCTTGTGCTCCAGTTTCCCCCCACAGTCTAAAAATGTGCAGATTAGGTGAATTAACCATGGTAAAATGCAGGGTCACGGAGGTATGGTAGGGAAATTGTTCTGAGCAGGATGCTGTTTGGAGGGTCGGTGCAGAGTCAATGGGCTGAATAGCCTCATTCCGCACAGTCAGGATTCCTTGAAACTAAAATAATCCAGAGTAAGGATGGGGTGTCAGTCATGGCTCAGGGGTTGCACTCAGGAGGCAATAGGTTTGAACTCATGTCCGAAATATAGGATCAAATTCTGATATAGCAGCGAGGTAACACTTCACTGACAGAAATATTGACTGGTGTAATTGTCCCCGTGATGTTATTCTGAAGGGCAGGGGAGTTCTTGTTGGTGAACGACTCCATTCTTATCCATCAATAAACATCACTAAATAGACTAATTGGCTATAACCATATTTCTATTTGTGGGAGCTCACTGTGCACATTTCCCATGCTGCATTTCCTACATTACAAAAATCATTACACTTCAGAAGAACCACATTGCCTGTGAAGCATTGTGCGACATCCTATCATGAAAGCTACTATAAAAATGCAAACTTCTATTAACAAAGAAGGAAAAAAAGCCAAATATGGAACAGTAAGAAAGAGGACATCAATCACTCATTACCGTGTCAGACACAAAGCTGATTTATTTAATCTACATTGAGAATACTGAACCCCAGGCTAGTTACAGGGATTACTAATGTCAACTGAAATCAAGTCCAACTGTCAAAATAAACGTGGTCCAATCCTGGATGTGAAGAACAACAAAACCATACCACTGCAGTTACTGGTGAACTCGCTGGTGTCTCATCACACTGGATGACTGAGTGAACCTCTTGCCACACTTGGAGCAGGTAAAAGGTCTCTCCCCAGTGTGAACTCGCTGGTGTCTCAGCAGGTTGCACGATCGAGTGAACCCCTTCCCGCACACAGAGCAGATGAACGGTTTCTCCCCAGTGTGAACTCTCTGGTGTTTGGTGAGGTGAGACGATTGTCTGAACCCAATCCCGCAGTGAGAGCACCTGAACGGTCTCTCATCGGTGTGAACGCGCCGATGGCGCATCAGTTCCCCGGAGCTTTTAAAGCACGTCCCACAGTCTGGGCATTCAAAAGGTCTCTCCTCAGTGTGAACCCTCCAGTGAGCCTGCAGATGGGACGGCCGAGTGAATCCCTTCCCACACACGGAGCAGGTAAACGATCGCTCTCCAGTGTGCACTCGCTGGTGTAGCAGCAGGGAAGCTGAACGAGTGAAACCCTTACCACACTTGGAGCAGGTGAATGAGGTATCCCCGGTGTGAACTCGCTGGTGCTTCAGCAGGTTGGACAACCAAGTGAATCCCTTCCCGCATTTGGAGCAGGTGAAGGATTTCTCCCGAGTGTGAACCTGCTGGTGTTTCAGCAGACTGGACAACTGAGCAAATCCCTTCCCACACGTGGAGCAGGTGAATGGCCTCCCCCCGCTGTGAATTTGCTGGTGTCTTATCAGGCTGGAAGACTGAGTGAATTCCTCACCACACTCAAAGCAGGCGAATGGTCTCTCCCCAGTGTGAACTCGCTGGTGGGTCAGCAGATTGAATGAGTGACTGAACCCCTTCCCGCACACGGAGCAGATGAATGGCTTCTCCCCGGTGTGAACTCTCTGGTGTTTGGTGAGGTGAGACGATTGTCTGAATCCAGTCCCGCAGTGAGAGCACCTGAACGGTCTCTCATCCGTGTGAACGCGCCGATGACGCATCAGTTCCCCAGAGCTTTTAAAGCACTTCCCACAGTCTGGGCATTCAAAAGGTCTCTCCTCAGTGTGAACCCTCCAGTGAGCCTGCAGATGGGATGGCCGAGTGAATCCCTTCCCACACACGGTGCAGGTAAACGGCCTTGCTCCAATGTGACCGTGCTGATGATCTTCTTGGTCAAATAGCTTTTCTTCAACCTGATTGCATTTGTGCTCTGACAGGCCAGATGATTGGGGGAAGCTTTGTCCACAATCGGAACATATGTACAGTTCGTCTCCGCTGTGATCAGAGATATTTTCTTCCATGTTCAATAACTGATGGTCAGATTGTGATGAATTGGGTGACTCCATCAGATCCATGTGTGATGTTTGGTGTCAGCTTCCCAACTGCAAATCCTCCCTTCTGAATAACCTCTGAAATGGAATTAAAACAGGTAAAAGGATGTTTGAAAGAGCCCACAAAAACACAAAGACAGGTTGTGAAATTGACATGAATGAATCTGGGCACCTGAGGGGCTGGCACGAGGAAAAAGTAGCGATGAAAGCTGCTGAATTGTTACAGAAACGAAAACAGCAGCTGCTGGACAAGCTCAGCAGGTCTGGCAGCATCTGTGAAGAGAAATCAGAGTTAAATGTTTCACGTCTGGTGACCCTTCCTCTGTTCTGAGCGCGGGTCACCAGAACTGAAACTCTACACAGATGGTGCCAGACCTGCTGAGCTTGTCCAACAGCTGCTGTTCTTGTTCCCGATTTACAGCATCTGCAGTTCTTTCGGTTTTTATTTTGTTACAGAAACCATTCTGGATTACTCATGTCCTTCAGGAAGGGAAACTGCCATACTTTGAGCTCACAGACGACTTTGCAAAATTTAAAACTGCATTGCGTATACCAGGTCTTTATGCACATCAGAAACAGCAGAAGTCCTAATGGCAATCCCTGGGGAGCTCCACTACTAACCTTCCCTCAGTCTGACAAATATCCATTAACCAGTGATCTCCCACGTCTCAGTCAATTTCGTATTCAAGTTGATGCTGTCCCTTTTATTGCACGAGCTCTAACCTCACTCATAAGTCGGCTGCATGGCATTTAATCAAATGCATTTTGAAAGTCCACGTAAAGCCCATCAATAACACTAACCTTAACAACCCTCTCTGTGAGCTCATTAAAAAATATAAGCAGGTTGTTAAACATGAGTTGCCTTTAACAAATCCTCAATGGCTTTTCTTAATTAACCCAACTGTTCTCAAGCGACTGCAAATTTGTCTTCAACTTTTGATTTTTGAAGCTCCCCCACCACCAAGAACTGACTGGTCTCTTGTTGCTGAGCTTGTCTTTACCTTCTTTCTTGAACAGAAGTGTAACATCTGTAACTCTCCGTCCTCAGTCACCACACATGCATCCAAGAAAAACTGGATGATTACAGCTATCGCCTCTACAATTTCCACACTCACTACCTTCAGTAACCCTTGAATGCATTTCAATTAGAGGGTGGTGAGTGAGTGGATGGAACGAGCTGCCAGAGGAGGCATTTACAATTGTAACATGTAAAAGGCATCTGGACGGTTACATGAACAGGAAGGGTTTAAGAGGGATTTGGGCCAAATGCCAACAAATGGGACTATGTCAGAAAGGGGTGTCTGGTTGACGCAGACAAGTTGGACTGAATGGCCTGTTTCTGTGCTGTATGACTCTGTAGTCTCGATGCCTCATCAATTTTAACATACAGCCAATCCAATTCAATCCACTGTTCAATTTTATACTCTGAAGGTGTCTTAATTTCCTCCTATTTTTCTATGGCCTGAGTGGCATCGTTTTCCTTTATAAAGTCAGACACAAAATCTATACTATCTGGAATTAACAGTCTAATGATGACCGTGAATCCATTGTCGATTGCTGGAAAAACCTATCTGGTTCACTAATACCCTTTAGGGAAGGAAACTGAGGTTGTTGACTTGCTCGCCAAGCTGGCTTGTTTTTGTTCTGATGTTTCGTCACCATGCTAGGTGACATAATTAGTGGAGCCTCCAATGAAGCGATGTTATTCTACTCCACTTGGAATTTATACTGTCCGGTCCATTATGGTGAGTAGTGTCATTTCCGGTTTTGATCTGTATGGGTTTTTATATGGGGTACAATTCTATATGTTTGTTGACTGAAGTATGGGTGGAGAACCATGCCTCTAGGAATTCCCATGCATGTCTATGTTTGGCTTGGGCTACTATGGTTACCTTGTCCCAGTTAAAGTGATGGCCTTTGTTGTCTGAATGTACAGATATTAAGGAGAGTTCATCATGCCGTTTTGCTGCTAGTTGATGGTCGTGTATTCTGATGGCTAGTTTCCTTCTTGTCTGTCCAATGTAATGTTTGTGGCAGTCATTGCACGGTATTTTGTAAACCAGGATGTGGGAATGGGGTCTTTAATCCTTGTAAGTCGTAGAGTTGCTGTGAGCTTGTGGGCCACCATGATTCCTAGCGGTCTTAGGAGCCTTGTTATGCTTACAAGGATTAAAGACCCCATTTCCACAACATGCAGAATGAATGTGGTTTACAAAATACCATGCAATGACTGCCACAAACATTACATCAGACAGACAGGAAGGAAACTAGCCATCAGAATACATGAACGTCAGCTAACGGCATGATGAACTCTCCTTAATATATGTGCATTCAGACAATGAAGGCCATCAGTTTAACTGGGACAAGATAACTACAGTAGCCCAAGCCAAACATAGACGTGCATGGGAATTCCTAGAGGCATGGTTCTCCACCCATAATTCAATCAACAAACATATAGAATTGTACCCCATATACAAATCCATACAGATCAAAACCAGAAATGACACTACTCACCATAACGGACCAGACAGTATAAATTCCAAGTGGAGTAGAATAACATCGTCTCATCGGAGGCTCCACTGATGATGTCACCTAGCATGGTGATGAAACATCTGAACAAGAACAAGCCATCTCGGCGAGCAAGTTAACAACCTCATCCACAACCCGAGCTACAGATTTTTGCCAATACTTTGAAGGGAAAGAAACTGCCATTTTTGCCTGGTCTAGCTACATGTGACTCCGGGCCCAAGCAAATGTGGCTGACTCTTATCTGGGCAATTAGGGATGGGCAATAAATGCTGCCTAGCCAGTGACACTGTCATCCCGTGAAAGAATAAAAAAAATCTTGATAACTCAGCATACTTTTCAGTTCACAATTGGATTGACCACTCCTTTTACCACCTTTTTGTCAGTTATATGCCCGTTGAACACATTTTGATTCACTTCTATGTTAGCTTCCAGTCTTTTTATATATTCTCTCTTTGTTACAGTTGTTTGCTGAATCAATTCCCCAAGAAACCTTCCAAACTCTGCTTGGTTCACAGTTGAATTATCAATTGGATATTTGTAACAAGCGCACTTTCCTTTTCCATCCTAATTTTTCTCTGCCTTGTCATCTAGGAAGTCTTGGATTTATTTGCCCAATCTGTCCCTTTCATAGGAATTTACCTTGACCATGTCAACACTATTTCTTCTTTAAAGCTGGTCCATTGTTCAGCTACAGTTTTGATTCCAAAACATCTGGGTCAGAATCATTCATACCCCATTGAGGTTGGCTTCCCACCAATTAATTATTCTTACTCTGAGCTGAAGTCTTTGTCCACAGGTAGAGAAGACAAATCTTTTCACCAAAATGTTCCAAACTTGACGATATTCATACTCTGATGAATTGAGGGCCTCTGTCACATCTTGAATTGACACTTAGCTTGAGTTTCCAACTGTAATCCATCTTCCTCTACTATTCTGCAGAAATTCAGAAGAAAGAAACATTTCACTTGAAAGAAAGCAAGACACTGCAAAAACTGGAGATCCGAAATGAAAACAGAAAATACTGGAAAAACATAGCAGGTCCAACAGCATCCATATAAAGGAAATCAGAGCTACCTGTTCATCATTCAAAACACTAACACTTTCTTTCTCCATAGATGCTGCCTGATGGTATGAAGTTAAATGCAGTGGATATCTGAAGAGACTTGTGGGATTGGGTGCATACTTCTTTAAATTGGCACAAACAGGTGCAGAAAATAATCAAGAAAGCCAAAAGAATGTTGGCCTTTATATATAGAGAAATGGAGTACAAGGATGCAACAATTTGCAGCAGTCATATAAAACTCTGGTTAGACCATGCTTGGAACACTGTGAGCAGGTCTGAGCACCACATCTGAGGAAGGATATACTAGCCTTGGACAGAGTACAATGTAGGTTTCCTTGAATGACACCTGGACTTCAGGGTTAAGTTATAAGGAGAGATGATACAAATTAGGCCTGTTTTGTCTTGAATTTAGAAGGTTATAAGGTGATCTGATTGAAGTCTTCAGGGTATTAATAAGAAAACTAGACAGATATACCATTTCCACTAGTTGGGGATTCTATAAAGGGGGCGGCGGTCGCATCGCCTGAAATTTTAGGGCCATTCAGGAGAGAGGTGAGGAAGCACTTCTACACTAAAACGGTGGCAGGTGTTTGGAACTCGCATCTAGTATCGTTTGTGGAAGAAAGACCAACTTTAGATCAACGATAGATTTATTTTTTTTGCTGAGCACAGCTATTTATTATGGGGTGTGAGCCAAAGGAAAAGTATGTGGAACCAGGCCACACATCAGCTATCAACTCCTTGAATGGCAGAACTGGAGGGAGGGGCTGAATGGCTTACGCCGTTCCCACGTCCCGTAACTGACCTTTATCCAGGGACTCTCTGCAACATCTCTTTTTTGCTTTGCGTTTGTTGCGTATGAATCATTCCCTCTTCACCCATGTACAAGGAGGTTGTAACGTCCATTGCCAGTCAGTCGAGGAAAGACATTCTCAATGTTAAGTCCGCTGGCTCAAGAATATGCGCACTGCTGCCCATTCACCCCGCCCCTCCTTTACAAATATGGCCACCAGCACCCGGGCGCGTCGCCCAAAAGGCGGCCCCACAGATTCACGGTTAATGCGGGACCGCGAGTATCTTATTCGGGATTTGTTCCATCCGCTATACATTTACGAAGCCTCCCTTCCCACTCGATCGCCTCCAGCTCTCTCCTGGTTTGATGTATTTTTTTCTCTCACCGGTGACGGAGCCGGAACAACCGCCTCCTGGCTCCGCACTGCACACGTCGTACTGCGCATACTCCAGAAAAGGGAAGCCACTGCGCAGTCTCCAACCGTGCCAGCACCCCCCCCCCCCCAAAAGCTCCCGCGCCTGCGCGATGGTAGGGCGTGGTCTATCTTATTACAATTGACAACAAGACATAGGAACCGATATAGACCATTCAGCCCATCGAGTCAGCTCTGCCTTTCAATGAAATGCGACTGATTTGATCATCTTTGCAATTTGTTCAGCATGGAACAGTTAACGTCATGTATCTTCCGGGTTCCGCCACCATTATTCAATGTAATCATGGCAGATTATTCAACTCCGTACCTTGCTCCTGCTCTCTCCCCGTACGTTTTGATCCCTTTAGCATGAAGAACCATGTCTAACTCCATCTTGAAAACATTCAATGGTTTGCTCTTAACAACTTTGCATGGCAGAGAATTCCACAGGCTCACCACAACCCTATCCTACATTTACCACAGCTAACAATCTTCGGCCTGTGGAAGGAAACCAACACAGACGCGGGAAGAATATATAAACTCCACACAGTCACCCAAAGCTGGGATTGAACCCAGATCCCTGGCACTGTGAGGCAGTAATGTTAACCACTCAGTCACTGCGCCACGCCATATCCTTAAGAAGGGTCTAGGCCTGAAACGTCAGCCTCTCTGCTCCTATGATGCTGCTTGGCCTGCTGTGTTCATCCAGCCCTGCACCTTGTTGTCCCTTAAACAGTGATCCCTGGTTCTGGACTCCATGGTTGTAGGAGACATCCTTCATGCATTTACTCCAGAATTTTACGGGTTTCTATTACATACCCTCTGCAGACATGGGTGGCACAGTGGAACAGATGCTGTTCAGAGGGTTGGTGTGGACTCCATAGGCTGAATGGCCTGCTTCCACAGTGTGGGAAGTTCTTCAATTCGTGCTTCTAAACTCCAGCGAATATAATTCCAAATGATTCAGTCTCTCTTCGTATGTAAGTCCTGCCATCCCAGGAATCAGTCTAGTAAAACTTTGTTGCACTCCCTTCATAGCCAGAACATCCTTCTTCAGCTAAGGAGACCAAATCTGTGCAGCACGTAATATTCTGGGTCTCTGCGTAAACAGTAAAATGTAGCCTATAGCACCTTCGTTCATCCTGGCATCACTAAGTTTGCAGTCCCCTCTCATTCCAGAGAAGCAATCATTGCCTTTCACCTTCCCGAAGTCACCTCTGTTGTTTTCATCACTGGACCTGAAATGTTAACTCTGCTTTCTCTCCACAGATGGTGCCAGACCTGCAGATGTTTTCCAGCAATTTCTGTTTTTGTTTGTGACAATCTGATGTTGTTCGGTAGATGTCCTGCAGGAAGGGACAAAAGAGGCTGATGCTGACAGGGACCAGATTTGAGGCATATGAAGGGCCATCACAAATAAAGGTGTCGTTCAACTCATCTGATTGCAGAGCCCAGAGCTAGAAATGATCAGGAGCCTCTCACAGAATTTGTTCAGTGTCTTGACTTGAAGAGACTATGACTGAAAGTATAAAAGTACATTTCACTGGAGTGGGTTATAAAATGGCGGAAAGTTCCAGCAGAGAAAAAGGCAATACTGATTGGATTTATTGTAGTCATGTGTACCTAAGTATTGTGAAAAATTTTGTTTTGTGAGCAGTACAGACAGATGATAACAAACAAGGACATACAGGTCATAGGGTATTTATACACAGCGAGACATAGAAGGTTATGGCTGCACAGGAGGTGCACAAAGCAAGATCGACATTATTTGAAGTTAGAGAGATCCATTCAGCAGTCTAACAACAGCGGGGATGAAGCTGTTCTTGAACCTGTTGGTGCGTGTGTTCAAGCTTCTGTATCTTCTGCCTGACGGGAAGAGGTTGGAGGACAGCATTACCAGGAAGGGTCTTTGATGATGTTGGTGGCCTTTCCATGGGTGGGAGGTTGGCTTCTGCGATGGTCTGGGCTGTAGACACAACTTCCTGCAGTTTCTTATGGTCCTGGGCTGAGCAGTTGCTGTACCAAGCCATGATGCACCCTGATAGAATGCTTTCTCTGATGCATCTGTTAAAGTTGGTGAGGGTCAGTGAAGCAAGCACCCGACGGCAAATGTGGTTTGTTTGCCAGTGAAATTCACTGTTTTCAAGGTGGGGACCACTGAAGTGGAGCGGAGACATTGATTAATTTTGCTGGTTGTCAAGCTTGTGAATGTTCCTATTCCCACCCATATCCCTGTTAACACCACAACTCTCAGGATATGAGTCAAGTGTTAGCTGTGCCTGTTGGTCCACTGGTGGAATGGATAATGTATCTGACTTAGAGATCAAGAGATTGCAAATTCAACACCTACAACTCCTCCTGTCACTTCATGGGCAACACAGTTGCTCAGTGGTTAGAACGGCTACCTCACAGCACCAGGTTCAATTCACCCTCGGGCAACTGTCTGGAGTTTGCGCAATCTCCCTGGGTTTCCTCTGGGTGATCCGGTTTCCTCCCAAAATCCAAACATGTGCATGTTAAGTGAATTGGCCAATAGAAATGCAGGGTTACAGGAATAAGGTAGAGGAGATGGGACTGTATGGGACACTTTTTGGAGGGTCAGTGTGAATGCGATGGGCCAAATGGCCTGCTTCCACATTGTAGGGATTCTATGGAAGGGAGGGGCAGCACAGCACCAAGGACCTGGGTTCAATTCTAACCTTGGGTGACTGTTTATGTGCAGTTTGCATGTTCTCCCCGTGTCTGTGTGGATTTCTGCCAGGTGCTCTGGTTTCTTCCCAGAGTCCAGAAATGTGCAGTTTGGGTGGATAGGCTGTGTTAAATTGTCCGCAAGTGAATTAGCCCTGGTAAATGTGGGGTTACAGGGTTGGAGGGGGATGCTCTTCGGATGGTCAGTGTAGACCCGATGGGCTGAATGGCCTCTATATGTTCTGTCGGGGTGCTATGATTTTATGATTCACCCATTAGCAAACTGATTTGAAAGCAGCTGGTCATAGCGGTCAACAGCATAGAATAAGGCCATCATTTGCGGCATGGAGTATAACAGCAAGGAGATAATGTTGAAGTTGTACAGAGCGTTGGTCAGGCCACAGCTGGAGTACTGTGTGCAGTTCTGGTCACCTCACCACAGGAAAGATGTGATAGCATTAGAGGGGATACAGAGGAGATTCACCAGAACGTTGCCTGGGATGCAACTATTGAGCTATAAGGAGAGACTAGATAGGCTTGGATTGTATTCTTTAGAGTAGAGAGGACATGATTGAGATGTATAAGGTTATGAAGGGTATGGACAGGATGAATAGAGAGCAGCCGTTCCCCTTGACTGAGGGGTTAATCACGAGAGGGCTTAGTTTTAGGGTAAGGGCCTGGAGATTCAGTGGGGGTATGGGAAAAAGACTTTTTCGTAGGGTGGTGGGAATCTGGAATATAATGCCTGGGAAAATAGTGGAGCCTGGAAACCTTACAAACTTTAAAAAAAAAATTTGGATGAGCATTTCAAATATCATAAAATTCAAGGGTATGGGACAAAGTTATGTTGGTGCAGACTCGATGGGCCGAAGGGCCTTTCTGCACTGTATGAATCTATGTCTGCACCAGTCAGAAAAAAAGCACATTGGTTTTTAAATTCCACTTCCGAGTGCTTGGCCCACAACCTTGACTGCCTTGGTATCACAAGCGCATATCTGAATACTTCTTGAAAATTATCATGGTTTCAGCCTCTTCCACCGTTTCAGGCAGCGAGTTCCAGATTCCCACCCTTTGTCTTTTTCCCCCTCACTTTCCTTTCAATCTCCTGCCCATTACTTCGAATGGTAATTGATCAAGGGCAGAAGTTCATTCCTGTTTACTCTATCTATCCACCTCAATAGTTGGCAGGAGTTAAACTTACATGCGAAACCCCAATGGATTATGAGCTATAGCCTTAACCACTTGGCTATAAGTAAATTCCTTGTGGATATGACAATTTGGATGTCTCTGTGGCCATGGACTCAATGTAAAACTCTGAATATTCTGACATCGACCTTCGGTCAACTTATTCATGCTGCAAAGTGTTTCTTTCATTCTCTTCTCCGAGACCTATAACGTTCCTACATGTAGATATGAAAGAGCAAAAACAAAGTTGCTGGAAAAGCTCAGCAGGTCTGGCGGCATCTGTGAAGGAAAATATCAGAGTTAATGTTTCGGGTCCGGTGACTGAGGAAAAGTCACCGGACCCAAAACATTAACTCTGATTTTTTTCTTCACAGATGCTGCCAGACCTGCTGAGCTTTTCTAGCAACTTTGTTTTTGTTCCTGATTTTCAGTATCCGCAGTTCTTTTGGTTTTTATTAAATATGAAAGAGGTCTTACTTCAAAATAACATCAAGAAATTGAAATAAAACTAAGAACTGCAGATGCTAGTCTTCTGAAACGAGAACAGGAATTGCTGGAGAAACGCAGCAGGTCAGGCACTATCTGCGGAGAGAGAAAATCTGAACTTTCAGAAACAATCCTTCAGTGCACAGTGCATTTCATTGTTTTGTTCACCTCCCTGCCCTTTCTCTCACTGATCAATGTAATTGAAATTAAAAGTACCTCAAAACTGACAGAACGATCCAATGTCACGGCCTTTCGAGCGATGAAACATTTGGCAATAAAATCTGGAGTAATACTGGCCCTTGATTGTATGATGGTGTCCGAAACTGTTAGAGCTGGAAATCTGTGAATGAAAAATAATACAGGCTGGATCAGTGAAGAGAAAGAAAATGTTAACATTTCAAGTCCAAAAAACTCTTGTGCCTAAAGGAGATTCATACTGGACTCAAAATGTCTTCTCTCTCCGTCAGTCCCAGTTTGATAGGACTATCAATAACAGGAAGAGAAATTAATGAGTGACTTGGATGTGTTGGGATGATGGAACAAACAGGAACAACTGAAATAGCTAAACATTACAAGCAATACCTGCTACTTTAGTTGTGGTTGAGTGGTTAAGGTAACAGATTAAGAAAATCCATTGGGGTTTCCCTGTGCAGGTTCAAATCTGACTGACTGTTTCTTCATGGTGCAGATTTTAAATGAGTTCCTGCTTCAAGACAAAAAAAAATCTGCAAAGACTTTTTCTGAAGAAGGGTCTAGGCCTGAAACATCAGCCTTCCTGCTCCTCTGATGCTGCTTGGCCTGCTGTGTTCATCCAGCTCTACACCTTGATATCTCTACAAAGGCCTGCTTGTTTTCTAACGTCCACTTATTTGTTTGCATTCAGGATCTTTGTAGTCTGGAATAGTACAATAGTAAGCTGAGTTGATTGTATCCCGACTTTCTGGGTGTCTCCCATTGTGGGTGCCAATGTAGTTCAGTTCCCCGTGGGGGTGATCATGCTTTCGCCATCTCAAACTATTCCCACATTAGTTTTGAAGCCTTGTCTGGTGCAGATGAAACAAAGAGGGCATTTAAAAATGAGAGATTGTCCACTTAAATCCTACAACAGCAATTTATATTTGCATAGTGTGTTTCGTGCCGTAAAACAACCGGGGGGCCTTTTACAACAGGGAGTAGTGGCCAACAACATGTTAGGCCAGTTCATCCAAAGTTTTCTCAAACTGCTTTATGCTAAGACCTTCTAAAGGATGACAGTGTGAGAGAGAGGGGAAGAAGTGTAGGGAGAGATTTCCACAGCTCACCGATGCTGCAGCAATTTGACTGGGAATCCACAAGATAGCAGAATTGGAGAAGTTCAGAGATCTTGGATTTCTGTGGGGATCCAGGAGATTACAGGGATAAAGACTGCCAAGGCCATGGAGGGATTGAAAATAAGGATGAGAATTTTAAAAACAGGATGTTACTTGATGGGCTGTCAGTGTTGTTCAGTGAGCACAGAGATGAGAGAGCACATTTTCAACAGGAAATCCAATGGATGGGAGATGCAGTCAGCTTCTATCCTCTGTTTTCAGAAAATAACAAAAAAAAGAGGGGTTAATGGACCTGAAACGTTAACACTGTTTCTTTCTCCACAGATGCTGCCAGACCTGCTGAGTTTCTCTAGCAATTATAGAGTCATAGTGATATACAGCATGGAAACAGACCTTTGGGTCCAACTCGTCCATGCCAACCAGATATCCTAAATTAATCTCATCCCATTTGCCAGCATTTAGCCCACATCCCTCTAGACCCTTCCTATTCTTATACCAATCCAGATATCTTTTAAATGGTGTAATTGTACCAGATTCCACAAATTCCTCTGGCAGTTCATTCCATCCATGCACCACGTTCTGCACGATAAAGTTGCCCCTAAGGTCCCTATTAAATCTTTTCCATCTCACCTTAAACGTGTGCCCTCTAGTTTTGGACTCCCCTACCCTGGGAAAAAGACTATGGCTTTTCCACACCCATTGTGATTTTATAAACTTCTGTAAGGTCTCCCCTCAGCCTTGAAAGATTGAGCAAAAATCCACAATAATTAAAATACTGGATAAAAGCCTTTACTTTTCAAAACTCCTAAGAACAAAATGAAAGCTGGGATGGCCTGGGAATGCAGATTGCCTGTCTGGGACTATTATTCAGTCTGGAATCCCAATTTACATTTCTCTTAAAAAAAACAATCAACCAAAACCAACAGACCCTAGCCCAAAACAGCTCTTACACCTCAGACTACACAGCGCAGGTAGTATATGAGTCCTACAGATATACTGGATCGAAACACATTCACACATACCCTAACCATCGGAAAGTCAATTAACTACAGAAAAGAACATCGAAGCTCAGTGAAAACTACAGATTTGAGGGAAGATAATGGGGGCCCACGGGCTGTATAACTGCTAGCTCCGATCTCACCTGAGAGAGAGACTTTTTCAACAACAAGCTTCTGCACAAACAGTTACCCCACAGGCTTCCACCCACAACAAGCAGTTTTGGAACCAAGAAACACAGAGGCCGAACCGAGAGCCAAACCAAGGTCCACATCACAACAAAAGACACCCGAAAGGGAAAGGCAATCAGACCTTCCTGGGATAACAAGGTGTAGAGCTGGATGAACACAGCAGGCCAAGCAGCATCATAGGAGCAGAAAGGCTGACGTTTCGGGCCTAGACCCTTCATCAGAAATGGGGGAGGGGAAGGGGGTTCTGAAATAAATAGGGAGAGAGGGGTAGGCGGATAGAAGATGGATAGAGGAGAAGATAGGTGGAGAGGAAACAGACAGGTGGGGATGGTTTTGGCTTGCGGTAGT